CTACACGACTGTATTATGATCTACGTGTAGAATTTACTGCACCGTACAACGGAAGTGATCGCGTATATACCACGCGGAAAGGGAAAGGTAGCAATTGAAAGAAAAATGCAAAAGCGGGCAATACGAATACAAAAATTTCCTCCTACCCCCAAAACACACAATTCGTTGATGCGATTTTCAATCGTTATATATATATAGAAATAAGAAATTCTTAAGATTTTACGATTCTTACAAGTTCTCTGATTTCTACCAAATTTGTACTCTGAAATCGAAGTCGAGGGGGTGCCTCGCCCTTTTGTATCTTGAAATGGGAGAGAAGGTAGTCTTTTTTTGCAAGCGTGTAGCCTAGGCCAGGGTAGGGCAGAGATGGTCAGTGGGTGGTGCGGCTATCCCTCGATCCCTTCACCCATTTCCGCCCCCTCTGTCCACCCAGCCTGACCTCACCCTATCCACCCTGCCCCACCGCTTCCATCCCACAAACGCCCTCGGTCCCGCTTCCTCGCCCATTGGCGTTGCCCATCCCGTCCCTCCCTCACTTGCCCCCGCGCGTCGCCATCGTTCCGCGCGACCCCTTCGACCAGCACCCACGTGGGACGCAAGACGAGGGTGTGAGGTAGCAGACAACGCGGAGATACCGCCGCCGCGGCAGCTGTGCTCAGTGTTTCTCAACCATGAACTTACGTCGGCTGCGATAATTTACAACCTGGACGAACGTCTCAGGCTTGAATATTGCCAGATATGCGACACACGCCATAAATGATAAATATATATCCTCCGTAGAATTTAACACGTCTATATAGGGGAAATTACAAGCATTGGTAATTTTTGACTGATTTCTTATATCGATAAGTGCATTTTGGTCGATATCTCGTACCTGGCTTGTAAATGTTTTAGGACGGAACGTGCTCAAGTTTGACGATACTTTGGTTATTTAAAAAACGACGTTTGTGACTATATAATCGAGATTCGAAGTAGCTATGAAAAATAACAATTGTGCATGCTTTGTGTTTTTAAATAAATGTTTAAGGTGGAATTTTAATTTTATAAGGTTAGATAATTCTATGGAAAAATTTGCCCGTGTACATAGGGATAAGGATCGCGGGCGTTTCAGAAACTTCACATATAACACACTTTTCCAAGAGTAAACTTGATTTGCTGCAAAGAAGGCTCCAAGATTTTTCCAAGCTACGGAACGGTTTAAAGCGGATAGAACGATGTCAACCGTAATCTTTTTATCAAAGTCTTGATTTAGCGAGATTATAACGATTGGTAAAATCGGAAATATGCGATTTCAAGATTCACATGATGTTTACGATATATCTAGTAACCGATATTTTGATCGGAAAACTAGAATAACCGTATGTTATGAGTGATAAAGAATTAAATCGTAACTGAACCAACTCAACCCTGTATTCCTGTATTCAAAATTATTATCTTAATTTCTCTTATCAAATTAATCGGTTAAAACTTAAAAATGGAGGATATTTATGTTCATGTATAATATGACAATCTTCGTGCAATTAATGATCGTACGAAAAGGGAACCACATTCGTCTCTGATCGAAAAAAGGTACGTTCAGAGATTGGGACAATCTAAAAGGACAAAAATCCCTTAATTCCGCGACGCACATGCTATCGATAATTCCCCTTCCGATCTACGTTCACGGAAGTGGACGAGAGAGGACATGATTTACGCTGAGACGATGCTCGTGGGTATCAGTCGCAGGGTACATGATCAAAGCGCGACGGTCGAAAGCATGGATCGAAGCGCTGATTGGTCGGCTTCAAGCGGGGTGCCGCGAGATAGCGCTTTTCGGGACGCCTCGATGTCGTGCTCGGCGCTGGCCGGCGTATCGAGGACGTTATCCGTGGACGCGACCAGAGTGCTATGTGTAGCCGTGCACATGTACGGATCGCATACGCGTGGATATACCAAGTCATGAATGTGTTGGCGCGCGTTGGGAGATGGAACGACCGAGGGTGAAGGAAAGGAGGGATGAAGAGCAACAGAGACAGAGCGGGAGTGAGGGGGGAGAGAGAGAGAGAGAGAGAGAGAGAGAGAGAGAGAGAGAGAGAGAGAGAGAGAGATACTACACAGGGTTACAAAGGCAAGATAGAGAGAGACAACGGGGAAAGATAGAGATAGAGAGAGGGAACGAGGCCTAAATCAGGGGCGATCGCACCGAGCGACGTCGCTATCTCTCTGAATATGCGAACCACTATTTGGCGTCCGCGGCGCGTACGTACCTAGTACCCGGTATTACTAGATACTAGATAGTACCTAGTCCCTGCTGCCTATATACCTTGGCTAGATGTTCCACGAGCTTTCTCTGTGTGCGCGCGTCTCTACGCGACGAGGTGGAGGGTGCCCTACGTGAACACACGTACACTTTGGGTTTTCACCTACGTGAGTTTACATGCCCTGCAAACGTACCGTGTAGTACGCGGTCGTTCAGAAAACTATGAAATCGAACTTACGAACTCGTAGTCACGTCATTGGAGAAAAGGTTGACTTCCGGGTTGAGGTGCAGTTGAGGCGCGGACCTTTCTCGTACGACCCCGACTACACGTAAACTTCGTCTGCGACTATTTACCCGCCGGCAGCAGAAAAATATCCGGTTAGGAAATATGTCAGATATTTGCGCGATATTTATTTGCACAGAATGAAAAGCAAGGATTCACCGGCAATGATTTCACCATACTGGAAAATCGGAATTGCAATCCCGCCAATAGAATTGGCTGATACCAAACGTTGCGCATGCGCACAATCCTGGTAAAAAGAAGTCACCAGCAACGCCAACAGTGCCGAGACATCTATGTTTTTATGCGTGCAATTACTACCAGATGACTACGGTTAGATCGATAATATATAGAAGAGACGCGCGAAGCTTCTATTTAATCGCGAACGCTGATGGTTTCACTTTGATTCCGTTTAATTGTGACTTTAGATTATGTAATCGGTGATATTTTGTTCCGCAAAAATTATAAAACATATGTCGTGTATTTTGTATTGTCGCAAACACGTGGCTCCATCTGTGTTCGGTGAACGATTTTAAGCGCATTTTCAACGTGGGAATATTTGTTGTTCATACTATTACAAAGTCCGCTTCACATTGGTTCCGTGGTGGTTAGGTTAGGTGAAACAAGTACACAGTGCAATTTGACAATGGTTAAAATATCGTAATGATTTATGGTATTCGATTAATTCTTCGATATTGAATAATTTAAATTCGTTTAACCAAAATATCGGGTTGACAAAAGTTGACAGAAAATACGGCATACTTGTTAATGGATATCTCATAACATAAAACGATATATTCTTCGATCACCTTTCCGAATGGAAAACACGCCATTGACATTCATCGTTATTTGATCAAATAATTTAAGAGAAACAAATATTTTAGTAGCGTAAACGTCAATTGACGCTATTCAAATTCCGCTGATCCTTTGTGTTAATCGTGACTATTTACGTAACAGCTGTTCTGAATACTTTCCATTCGTAAGACACGGAAGAGCAAGTTCGTAACTTCGTCGGCCAACTGAACGGATTATACCGTTGATTGTCTAGAACGGAGAGTGGAAGTACTCCGGCACGAGCCTAGTTTTAAACTTCATAGCGTCGTCTATTCGTTTTCGTAACGTTGAATGAACTTAAAGGGAAAAGCTGCGTACTCCCTGAAGTTTCCTGCGAATCGACATAATGTTTTAACGAATGCACAAACAACTTATAGTGATCATCGCAATAAAGAATAGTAACAAATATTTCTTTCTAATATCCAATTAATGTATCTACTTATCCACTCTCTAATCTTCTTTTTTCTTTTCTTTTCTTTTTAGCAAAGCTAACCCTCTGCCAATAATGATTATCGAAAGCCTCATTTGATAACGTCACGAGAGAGCGATACAAGCCACACGCTAATGGCGGAAAAACTCGCAATCATGGAGTGTTTATGAGTTCAAATGAATGTTTGGTGAGTCGTAGAGAAGGCCTGCTCTGCCTGCCTCCGTTGACGGCCGATCGTTACAAATACCGGTGATACATAAGCGGGCGGCAAGCGGAGCCTCGCCGTGCTTTAACGAGGCGTACACGTGTTTCTGACGTCGGCGCTATAAAGTAAGTACGTATACGGACACGCGTGTCCCGTGCTGCGCGCGCGCGTGTGTGTATGCACGTGTGCGGCGTGTGTATAAACACGCGCGCGCACGCATTCGTTAAAGAGAGAGAGAGGGCACCCATATATGTGCAAACCCGGCACGCTGGAAACCCTAGAGCCGGTTTTCAATGAGCGAGTGGCGGAAGAAGAGGGAGAAACGGCGGCAGCCAGAACCGGCATACGCAGAAAGAGAAAGAGAGGCATGGTGAAAAGGGGAGACGGAGAAGCGAACGAATAGAGAGAGGAGAAAGAGGAAGAGCCAGGAAGAGAGGAAGAGGAGGTGGAGGAGGAGGAGGATGACGATGAGGAAGGGAGGCAAGAATGGACGTGAGCAGGAGGGAGGAATATAAACCCTTATCGAAATCGTGATTCACCCCACATTCTCCAGAGACCCCCTAACCTATTAACATCCATATCACAATAACAGATACACGTGTATACCGAGCTGTATTCCCACACGGTCATTCGTCCTTGCACACCTTCATAATTGCTCAGCGATTTCTGCTACACCGATGGAAAAACTTGTTTACCGTTTAAGAATACCATCGGTCATGGGACGGCAGGTAAAATTATGCGAATTCTTTCGAAATATGGGATGTTCGAAAAGGGTTTGATAATTAGATTGTTACAATTCATATTTCCCGTCTTGTTTAACCATTTTAGTCATCTGTATAGAACAAAGTGTACGACCGAGCGGTAATTAATTAAGGTGTTAAATTGCTAATTCGATTATAAAAAGGT